GGGGGGGTGTTTACTCTCTGCTTGAAGTTCCAGAATTTTACAGTATTTGTATCTGGTTAGTGCTCTAATTACAATTCAGAACTAATATTCCTGAACATTTTTATCATGAAGGAAAAACTCTAAAAACTCTCAGGAAATTTATTAGTCACATGCTGACAGATAACAGGTACAAGGTGGAACTGCGGTGTGTATTTAAAAACGTTAAAAATCTTACATACACTGTTCCAGTATGTAACGTCACTTAAAAAGACTGTACCATATTTCAAACTCACATTCTTACCAATGTAGCGTTTCATTTTCTACCTAAGTATGCATTTATTACACTTTCCTTCTTTGGGGAGTTGATTTTTCATATTAAAGTAGCTTCTACCAATCTTTAAGATGTAGTTTTGAACTAAATCTCATTTGTGTGGCTAGGGCACAAGAGCAAGGTTTCTAAGGCGTTTGAGACCTCTAGTGTCCAGTTCCTTTATTGCATGGCTGATTTTTTTCTTCTGTTTTTCCCCCATTCCAAGTAACAAGAAATTGTTTATATTGCTAATAAAGTGGTGACTATTGAATTGATTGGATAACTCATCTCTTTCAGTTTCTGCCTGTTCATGTTCCTACTGAGGAAGAAAAGAATGATCCCTTTCTTTTTGCCAACAGAGTCCGACAAACAATGGCAACGTATGTAATCAGTCATGGATAAAATCTCTGAGAACATTTCTTTTATATCCAGCAATTCTATATATATCCTATCCATAAAGTGTTGGGAGATAATGGACATATCTCCCTCAATAAAGTACAATTTAGTCAAGTCCCAGGTACTGTATATAGGAATTGCTCCAGAATTTCACTAAGAGGTGTCAAATTCCTATACTAAAACACCCTGATTGTTTTTACATGGAGCATAGAGAAGGTTGTCTTACACTGGAACATAGTATGTTCAGTTCATGAAAAGCTGGAATAAATTTCTCCCTTACTTGCCTGGCAAGAATAAGTAGGTGGTTTGTTCTCCAGGGTTACTGGGCTGCATTTACAGGACTGTAAATCTTAAACATCATGACGCTGCCATAATGTAGTTTCACAGTATGGTTTCACAGTTTCACAAACTGACATGTATTGCTTTATCCTACTTGCAGCAGTGCAAGAATGAATTATCATTTCATATTGTTTTGTATATTAGCACTAAAGTCAAACTGAGATAGAGAAGGAAAACAGTCAACTAAAAGTAATTTTAATATAAGAAATTGATTTTGCTTTTTCCTTAATTTTTTTTCAGTGCTTTGAATGTGCCAGTCACTGATCACACTTTTGAAGACTGCCGACTGATGATTTCAGCAGGACAGCTGACTTTACCCATGGAAGCTGGGCTGGTGGAGTTCACCAAAATTAGCAAGAAACTCAAGTAAGGGCAGCTTAGCTGTTGGTAGCATAATTACTGCAGTGCTGCAGGTTTTGATGGCCATCTACAAAAGGATGAATTACCTGACAACGGACTTGGGCCATGTGTAATTGTTCTGGTTAAACCATGACAGTAATATAGTGTATTTATGTATACAACGTATATACATAAACTATATGGAAATCAGAGATTAGGAAAACCCCAGTAAGAACTAATCCCAAGTAATTTATGTGGCCAGTGTTACAAGAGGAAAAATGCATTTTTCTAATCTTTTATAGATTAATCTCACCAAAAGGTGAAGAAGCTACAGCAATACTTATTTTAGGCACTTGATGGTAATCTTGGTGCCCAGTTTAAATTGCTTTTGTGGAAGTGCACAGGCTATTTGTGGTAGGAAGTAAAATCCTTCTTTCCAGACCAAGACTTCAGCCACTGGTTTACTGTTCTTAGTTGTATTGTGCAGGCATGTTTCGCTAGCAGTGTTGACTGTTTCTGTCTGGATACAATGGAATTTGAGGACTGAACCACTTAATCATACAATAACTCCATCAAATAACCTGGCATGGCTGTGGTCAAATCTGAAGTATGTGCGCAGTGAATCTTCGTCTTATTACATGTGTGCTACATATCCATTTATAGCACTCCATCTGGAACAATCGTCAATAGTTACATGGCAATACTAATTATTCCTGCTGAGGGGCAGTGGTGTATTTCTGCAGAGATCAGCTACTTCTCAGGCTGTAGCGATACTAGCGTTTGGGTAGAGAGTTAGCTAGTAGAGCTGAGATCTATTAAGGAAATACTCACCTTAGAGCATGATGCAGTAAAATAATGCTGCATCTGAAGTTATGGTACTGCAAAACTCTCTGCTAGACTAGCCTAGTACCTGGACAGATGATTCTTGTTTGAGAAGTTACTCTAAGGAAGTCTGATAGACCGAAGCATAGAACTGCCTGCTTTTAATATTAATAATGGGGGGAGCAGTCCTTAATTGCTAATTTTGTATAAAGTACCAGGTTGGAAGTACAGCGTTTCTAATGCTGTACACACATGCTCTGTTTGGCTATTTTTTGTCTTTGAACACTGTAATAACTCTTACTGAAATTCCATCTGTCCAAGATCTGCTGTATAGAAATATCTCCTCTCCCTCATGTTTGCATAGCCTAAAATGGAATAATGTCAGAGAGCAGTTGGATACCTTTGCTGCTATTGCAAGTGCTTCCAAAGGGGGAAGAATTGGAATTGAAGAGTTTGCAGAGTACTTGAAGCTGCCTATTTCAGATGTCCTCAGAGAGCTGTTTCTACTCTTTGACAGGGTGAGTAGTTGGTTAACCGACTAGTTGAAAATATTTTGTTAAAACACACATCCCCAAAGGATATTTAATTCATTATGTCCAGCTTAGTAAATGGTTCTTGGTTAACAGTTCTCGTAGGAAAGATAGGTGACTGTTACAGTTTCCTTCTTAAGTTTTGATGGAAAAAGGTTGGTCACTTTGTAGCTTGGGAGATGACAACCATCTCTTGGAGCAAGTTGCTGCACCACCATCAGATGAGAATCTTCATGGTGGTAATGGCTGAATATTTCCTTTTGCCTACCCCAGATTTTGAGTTTATATACAATCTGACAGTTTAATTTAGTGATGAAGTTGTAAGTAGATCATTTAAGACATATTGAAAGTGACTAGAGTGTATGTTCCTTCTGTGTTTGTGAAGGATGCTATTAAACATTATAAGGACTCCTCTTGCCTATCTCCAGCCCTAAAGGAGGTTATGTGTTGATTTGATAATTTAGGCTTTCCCCCATAGTCAGTGGTGATCTCTCACATTTTCTGCTCCTCTCTGAAGATGAGAAAAATTGCCCTGTGGATGTGCCCCTCTGACTATAGCAGAAGCATTAGTGACTAGAGCATAACATAGAATTCATCTTACTTCTAGACATCCTATGTGTGCTACAAATTCAAGCAACGTGTTGTACTTCAAGTGCTTATGAACTGGAGTTTGTTTCTTATTGCAGGAGCTCTCCCAACTCAGCATCACTCTTCCTGATCAAGTTAGCTTTAGCAGTATGCCAGTCTTTGGGAGGTCATTGCATTGTACATGCTGATTAAAACTGTTTCAGGATTTTTCCAGATAAAAAGGTTTTACAAGCTCTAAAATAGAGAAGAGTCAAATATTTGTTCCTTAATTGGAGAATGCATTGAAGCACTAGTAAAGCTAGGTAATCATCCTTTCTTCATTCTTGCCTGGGGATCTTGGACCATCAGCTCCTGTGAACATGTAGTCTGAGTCCTGAAGCACAGTACATACAAAAAAATATGGTGTGGCTACCAAAATAATTAAGGGCAATCAAGACTCCTTTCACTTTCCCTATCTGGCACAACAGCATCAGTGACTAGAATTATCAATGTAAACCTGAATGCAGTAAAAGGTTGTAGGCATAAAAGATTGGAAGAACAAACAAGACTCTAGGACACTTTCACTGCATTCATCTTTAAGGAGATCAGTTTAACTGAGGAACAGTTGCATTAATGTGGCAGGGCTCCTTTCAAATTGCTTCAATTATGAGCACGAGTATTTTGAGACTTCTGCTCTGTGTCTTTCAGCCTCATCTTTTTTTTTTTTTTTTCTAAAAAGATTCTTCAAATTGCATAAAGCTAACTATGCAGTAAAGCAAAAAAGAAATAGAGGTGTAGCAACAATTGACAGAAACTACTGAGACCTGAGAAAACCGGCAGCTGGAGACATGCACAGACACGGTCAAGTCTAAGCACGCAGATAAGCTGCGTTTTGCCCACGCCCAGCTCAGACACAATAAGGCTTTGGAGAGTTACAGAAGCACTGGATCTCTGAGTAACTGCCTTCAAAAAATCTTCATAATGTTCCTTGTTAAAGCTTTGCTGAGTGGAGGAAGTGGTAGTGGTGGTGGTCGTGGAGGGAGCCTTGCACGTGGCCTTGGAGGTCTCCTAACAGGAGGTGGACATGGAGGGAATCTTGGAGGACTTGTTGGAGGTCTTGTCAATCTTATAAGTGAAGCAGCAGCTCAGTATAATCCGGAGCCACCTCCACCTCCTCACAATCATTTCACGAATGTGGAAGCTTATGAGAGTGAGGAGATCAGACAGTTCCGTCGCCTGTTTGTCCAGCTGGCTGGAGATGATATGGAAGTGTGTGCCACAGAGCTACGGGACATCCTGAACAAAGTCATTTCCAGACATCAAGACTTGAGGACAGATGGCTTCAGCTTAGACACATGCCGTAGCATGGTGGCCGTCATGGACAGTGATACAAACGGCAAACTGGGCTTTGAAGAGTTCAAATATCTGTGGAACAACATCAAGAAATGGCAATGTGTGTACAAGCAGTATGATACTGATCAGTCAGGCACTGTTGGGAGAGCTCAGCTGCCAGGCGCCTTGAAGGCTGCAGGGTTCCACCTGAACGAACAACTCTTCCAGGTAATTGTGCGCAGATACGCCGACGAGGACGGTAGCATGGATTTCAACAACTTCATTAGCTGTCTGGTAAGAATGGACAGCATGTTCCGGGCCTTCAAGTCCCTGGACCGAGATGGAAATGGACAGATCAAAATGACCATTGAAGACTGGCTGCAGCTGACCATGTATTCGTGAAGACACAGCAGAGAAGATTAATCTTCATCTGGAAGATATACATGGAAGACTACAATCGTGTACTGTAGAACTGTAGTCTCTTTCTTATTCTAAGGCAGAAGTAGTGAGTGGTAGATGGTTCAGCTTTAAGTGTTATGATTCCTCTTGTGCATGCATTAGCCTGATTTTCTGAAGGGTTTGTGTAATTTGTCAGTTGAACAGCTGCATAAGTCTGTCTCGGAAAACTCTACACTCTGAAGTGAGGGAATGTGTTGAAGGATCAAAGCTTAGTTACTTCTTCACGTAAAGTGCCTTGTATATGATTATAACAATTATATAAAAAGCTCGTAAGTTTGGTGTTGATGTTACTGTTTTGATTTGTTGGCATTCGCCAAGCTGCAATAAAGCTGTTTGCCTGAAGGCAATCACTAGTAAAGAGAGCTGTGCAGTTAATTCTAGGAAGGGGAAAAACATGAGAGTTGCAATAACTATAATGATCAATGAATTTACATAATCATATTTAATTTCCTTCCTACTTCTGCTTTTCATGCTTGTCTGCTGAAGCAAAACCTGAGTAGTATTGTCAGCTCTACCTGCTGGCTAGGACAAAATTGAAGACTTATATAAGGCTACTTTTACAACCTTTTCCTCCTTCCCACAATGCTATTAACTAGTCTTTTCTCCCTTTCCTTCAAGCCTTATTATAGTTATAATGAAAACAACTTAAAATACTGCATTTATATTTAGAGAAGCTTGCTGTAATAATGCAGCCAGCCAGCCAAAATCAACTTCTGGCCAAGTTAAATTTTATCAGGGTGCAGTGTCTCACTCAAGCTAGTTATGCAGTTCTGTCTAAAACGTCAACTTCTGAGTAAAAGAAGAAGGAATAACATGAACTGTCAAAGGTACATCTTTGAATTAAGGATTACATAGTTGAGAAAACAGCCTTTGCACTGCAGTGTAACAAGGCAGATTTCTCAGCAAGGCTCTGCTGCTTTAAAAAGAAAATTGTCCAGGGTGTGTGCTAGCTGACTGGAATGTGAAAGGATGAGTTGAGCAGCACAGCCTTACACTACAGGCAGTCTCTAGATGTAAGAGTCCACCCCTCCCCAAGGAGACATCAGTGACTAATTGAAAAATACCACACAATACCTGCAGGGCATCTGAATGCTAATGGAGTACTGTGGTTTGGCTTTGTTTCTAAATTTCCATAGCTTTGATTTCTAAGTCTTGCAGTTACACTTGGCAAATAGTATTTTCCAAACTGATGAAATCTCCTCCGTGATATACTCGCAGAAAACTTTTACTTGCAATTTAGGAAGGAGTAACTTAAAACTTTTGCCCAGACTTTTTTCCTCCTGCACTTTGTTTAACACCAAGCTGGGTGACAGAAACAGTAAAAAAATTTGTATTGGCCCAAATTGTAACAAAAGAGTGACCCCCCTCCCAGTTATTCAGTGGGAAAGCACAGTTATCCACAGTGGCATCTGGGCTCTGAGCAATAGGAAAGTGAGCTCGAGGGAGAGTGTGATACCTCCAGGTAAGCATCATTCTAGCAGGTTTGTTTCAGAATTTCCCTTTCTGACTAGTTAGAACTTGCATGTAGCAACAGACAGTGGGAATTTTGCAGTTATAGCAATAGCCTTACATGATGAGCCTGGATGTGAACACAAGAGGTGCATCTGCAGTTCCTCTCCAAATGGTCCAGTTGTAGCTTCTCTGTGGTAGCTGTCCCTGTAAGTGACTTAGGGTTTACTTAGCTAAACATGACTGACTAGTGCACACACATACACACTTGATTTTTCCTACTGCCTTACATAGTGAGAAAAACGTTTTGAGGCAGTAATACTTCAGACTCTATTGATTGCATCTGTCTTGCAGTCCTTGTGCAACTGTAAGTGGAGATTGCTTATGACAATACAAACTTTATTGTTTCCCAAAGTGTAAGATTTGCTATATTATATTAAACAAAACAAAACAAAACAAAACAAAAAAAAAAAAAAACAAAAAAAAAAACTAGTTACCATAGCATGCTGTAGTGAAAACAGTAGCAGAAAACTAGTTTCCTTAAAGAAAACAAGTGTTGTTGAGGTTACACTATGTTTTGAGTATTTTACCTAAATATGTTCTACTTTGCTACTTAGAGAATTGGAGCTCAGCTCACATGTTGCTTCCTTAAAGTATTCTTGGTTGCACAGGCTGCAAACACAGCTAGGTATGTGTAGAAAGACTATTCAAGTGCTCGTTTGCAGTGGTACTAACACAAGCACTGAAGGTTTTCCTGCATTTTCAGTTTAACTCCCATCTCTTTTTCCAGGTAACAACCCTATCACTTCTCCTTTACCAAAATGTCAGAGCATTTGGAAGTTAGCCAGCATCCTAGGGTTTAGTAGAGCTAGTCACAACATGATCTTGCAAGTATAGTAACTTTATTTCCTACTCAAAGGGCTGGTGTTCTGTGTATCAGATTGCACTCAGTTTTGGTTACTGGGTTTTAGCACTTTAGTGAAAGTAATACGACCCTTATTAGCTCTTGTCATTTCTCCATGTGCAGCCACAGCTGTGTTAATTTATGTCAGAAGTTGTTTTCTAATGAGACTATTTTATTTAAAGTTTACTTCCCAATTCTTTTCCTGTGATACATATTCTTAACTTTAAAAATAAATTTTAAAAAATATTCTAGTCACATCAAACAATCCTTTGCTAAGAACACAGTCTATAAAACTGTCCAAAAATAATACTCCATGGAACTTTGAACAATTATTATCTACACTATGCCTCAGTTGTTTTGAAAATTTAGGTTTATAATGATACATTTTAAAGTTAGATGTTATCTCTATTATGAGAACTATGATGTAACCAAAATATTTAGTCAAACTCTGCAGTATAATGAGAGCACAGATTTATAAATAAAACAGCATTTATGAGAACATTGTCCTTTTCTAATGATTAAAACCTGTCAAAAGTTATATCTGTGAGACACACTTGAAAGTAACTGAAGGACTATTCATATCTTTGCTAAAAAGTTTCACTGAAATACACAGGTTTTTAAAGTACAAGATCTTCAAAGGTTGCATGTCTTCAAAAAAGATTGGTTAGACCATTGATATAAAGAAAATAACAGTAGTCTGTTCAAAACAGTCCTGGATTGGTTTTGAAGGCTAAATAAAATTCTATCTTAACAGTTTTAAACACTGTCAAATGTATAGCTTGATAAAGAAAAGTTAGTACTGAACACATTATTACACATACTTTAATCAAGAACTCTCCTAAAACCTAAAGTTCAGTAGCAAAAATCCCTATTTCATAGAACTCAGGATTTTCAAAGTACTCTGTAGAGCAGCCTTAGCATTTCTCCACTGGCAAGCTCCATATTCCACTATTCAGCTGCAGAAAACCAAGAACAGAAAGGTTAAGGTTCGTATGCTCAAGTGGGCATTAGAAGTTGGTAGGAGAGCCAGAAATAGAATCTAGCTCTGGCTGTTCACTCCAGATTTAGCCAGGAGACCACCCCTCTTCTGCTTGGCTGGAAAAGTTTTGTGCTGTTTTCTGACTTAGGGATTCCACTTTTTAAAAAATCTTTTTCTTCTTGAAATGTGCAACACATTATATCCACAAAGAGAACTCCGCTTTACACTTTTGTTTCCTTGTAAAGTGTTTTTGATGAATGCCCTTATTATGAATGTTCCAAACTATGAGCTACTAGTCATCTCTACTGTGCTTTCATTAACTACTCTGTGTCCCACCACCTAACACTTATATGTGGCTTTTCCCCAGACAGGATGTTTTCCAAAACCTTCAAGAAACTTTGTGTGGTCACAGGAACAATACTGATTTAAGCATAAATGTCAACAAGCATCTGCCATTTTCCCTATCTGCAAATATAATGCAGTTTACATAGAATTAATGACAAATACCATCAAAGCAAGCTTCAAATGTTTTGTTGTAGCTTTGTAGCTAACATATTGAAATGTTGGTTCAGATCAAAACTGGAACTATCAGAGAGGCTGTTACAATTTAATTCATTGCATTCCTGGCTTAAAGGGTAGGACAGTGTATTGGCTTCAGAACAGCATGCAGGGCAATGCTTTTGCTTCAAAGAGAGGCTTAAGATAGACCATGTAGATTTACTGCATCATCAGGCTGTACCTTTGTTGGCATATATTTTATTGATGAAGGTTCTTTGGAAGAATTAACTCAGGGCAACAGCCTCACTGTTGGCCTGTTTATTCTAGGATGTTGCCAGTCCTACATGAACTGTTACAATTGCCTTAAACAGAGGTATTCCCGTTCTTGTTAGAGGCTTCTTGGAGGTCATACACTAAGAAAAACTTGTAATTTGTTTTAAATATTTTTATTTGGGTGTTGATAAGATAGAAATTCATACCAAATTTCTAGCTATTGAAAGTATGTATATTGCTACTTCAGCCCTAGTAGTACATATATTTAATGAGCTCTTAGTATTTTATCCAGGAAGAACAAATACCTCTAGTGTTGTAAACTGTCTTAGTGCATGTTATATAGTTGATATATACAACAGCTTTTGAAGTGATTTGCAGTATTAACTGTAACTACTGCCATGCATATTTTGGTTACAGAATGGAGATGGCACCATCGACTTTAGAGAATACGTTATTGGTTTGTCTATTCTTTGTAACCCAGCCAACACAGAAGAGACTATTCGCATGGCATTTAAGGTAAGTTCAATTTAGTGTAAATCTACAAACATGACAAATCAGGACTGACTGTAAATCTGTTAGCTTTCAAATCATAAGTTTATAGCTTCAATCTGTTATGCAAATGTGAGTAATATTCTTAAACCAATTGACATTTAGGGTGTGAAGGGGAGGGGGAGAATTGCAGGCATCATAGAAAAGGGTTTCAAAAGCCATGTGAAGGCACTAATGAATATGTAACTTGGCAGGCCAACTCCAAAAATGATTCAGCAGCACATGCATTTTTTTCGCCTGAGGTTTTTTCAGCTGTGGTTCTTCAATGTCACAAGCAGACAATAGATGGAGCAATATCCTCTTGTGGGTCAAGCGCTCAGTAGAGTCACTGTGCTAACAAAGAGGAGGAGGGGGGTAAATCAAGAAGGGCTATTCAAGACTGGCACATCCACAATTGGGCCGCATCTAACATCTATTGGCTTGTACTATGGTGTCCTGATAGTACAAGCAGGCTCCATATGACCAGCAAGGCCCAGGTGAGTCCTTCAATAGAAAAATGCTTCAGTGACTTTTTTTCAATAGATCTTTGAAACAGATTCAGTTCTGTTCTAATGATAGGACAGATTCTAATCTGTTCTAATGAACCATATCAAACTGGATATCGAGAGATAGATCATGTTCAACTTAAACTGGGTACTTTTTAGTACTGATGCATACTCAAGAAGTACCAGAATTTTTATGGCAATCCATTATATACACTGGCTGCCTTTACAGATAAGAGCTGCAGCTGTTCTAAGTGATTTGTGCTTTTTTAGGGATGTTTTATCATTACAGATTCATATGAAGAAGCAAACCTAGCAGCTATTGTTGCTGTTTCACTATTCTGTTTTCTAGACTGTAGTCTTCAGTATCTTAACAGTTGTGCTGATTATAAAATTAGTAACTTGTTTTTATGCCCAGTTTCAGCTGGTAAAAGGCTTTTTCAGTCTGAAATGGAACTATGGGTTTTGCCTGTTGCTACTTGTTTTATTTGCCACTAGATATTCTTTCCTTTGCAAAGGGAAAGTTTGCCTGTAGCAAGTACTTAAGAATTACAGCCATCCATCCTTGTATTTCTCAAGGAGTTGATTCATAGCAGATGCTTACTGTCACTGCACTGGGAAGGATGGAATGATCAGTGTACATCTATTGCCTGCATTCCAGTCACCAGAATTCCTTGTTAATTACATTAATTCCTTAGTGAGTGACCAATCACATATACCAGTATTTAGGTATTTTATGTCAGATCATAAACTATGGCAAATTAAATCTGATGGCAGATGTGCCATAACTTAATGAAAACGAAGACTAAAACCTAAGATGTTCCAGTATAGAGTGGCTGAATCCAGTAGACCCTTATCATAGCTCATGGTGACAATAAACATAAACCTTTGTTTATGTTTTGTTTTCATCAGTTTTGTATGAGTTTTATTACTGAACTAATGCTGTGAGGTTTGTTTGTTGTTGCAGAGTGTTCCAATCCCAACTACAGTATGTACATTGCTCTGCTAAGTGACTGCTTAGTTTTATTCCAGGGAAAATACATAAAATCTTTTGCAAGAGAAAGTAGCTGAGATGCAGCCAGTCTCTTCAAATCGCAAGCATTGTTTGCAGATCACCTCTTGAATACTAGAAATCTGATATGGGTGGCTGATGTGCACAGAAGGTTCCAAGGCAAACTGATGCTGAATTATTTCTATATATTATGTCTTTTCCAGCTCTTTGACATGGATGAGGATGGCACTATAACAGAAAATGAGTTTGCTTGTATCATTCAGTCAGCCCTGGGGGTGCCTGAGCTTGATGTTTCTATGCTCTTTAAAGAAATAGATGCAGATGAAACCGGGAAGCTGTCCTATGGTAAGTTACATCATTTTGAAACAAAGAGCACTCTAACAGTCATATTGACAGCGAGAGTTTCCTATCTTTTTTTCTCCCTGAAAATATCTGGTGTTTCTCATACCCTATTACTGGGGAAAACTGTTGAAGCACAGACCTAGATACTTTGTGGGATATGCCTGAGATGCTTCAGAGGAAAGTAACTGGAGATCAGCTTCAGTAAAATGAGCAGGCACTGAAATGTTCTCTGATCTGTTGTTGCACTATTGTATCTGTATCATTTGTATTTTTCAGATGAGTTTAAGGACTTTGCACTGAAGCATCCAGAATATGCCAAGTTGTTTACTACATACCTAGAGCTACAGAGATACCAGTTAGATATGTTGGAGGAGGATGACAGTGAGTCACCTGAAGTCAAACACAGTCTGGTTAGGAAGACAACAATCCCAGTCACAGAAACACCAACTGCAAGAAATAAAGTCTGTCCTGAAGGCAATGAAGAGGATAACTTGAGTACCTCTGACAAGAAGGATGACTGAGAAGAGTTAAAGAATCCAGCTCTTGAATTCTACAGGATTTTTTTCCCTAACTATTCATAAGTACAATGGCTATAGAATAGAGATGGAAGTTACAATTAAAAAAAAGATTTCTTCTTGTACTTTCATAGCAGGTGGAATAGAGATGGATGTTACAATTAAAAAAAAAAAAAGAGGTTTCTTTTTGTACTTTCATAGCAGGAGGAGTTATTCCTGTTTGACTGTAAGGGAGAAAACCACTGTAACTACTCTGTCCTTGATGTCAGTATCACAATACTGGGAATGTTTATCACTGTCTTCCAAGACGAAGCTTCCACAAAAGTGACAGATGTGCTAAGAGGGGTAAGAGGCTCCAGCACTGCAGTGTTATCTCAGAGAAAGAGGAGACTGAGGAGTCCACTTGTGTAAAAACAAGTGGAATTTCTGATGCTGCTCAGTTCCTCTACATCCCCAACATGTCTTAAGGGAAAAAATGATGCCAGAGTGTTTTAATTTACAATATCCCTTAGCCTTTCTCAAGTTTCTGAGAGACACAGATGAGTTACAAGAAGCTGGTTGTTCTATTTTAGCTGTCCTTAGATTTCCCTTCACTACTTGTGAACTATAAAGCCTATGCTTCTGAACAAGACATGCTGATTCACTGATGTTAACAGAAACAGCTTCAGGCTTAAAGGCAAGTTAAAGATGGAAATGACTGTACTTCTTACAACAAAAACTAATTGGAATTCTCAGATAGCAGCTCACAGTCTACAGGAAAATGCAGACAATACGACCCAAGAATTAATAGACTTATTTCAAAATAAACAGAATGTTGTTTACAGTAACAACTGTTCAGGATCACATTAAGAGGAACATTTTGAACTGCCATTTTTTTATTCCAGTAATTATCAACAGAGGAATGTGACCTTGCTCTGCAAAACTTAAGAGGCAAATAGGCTGTCAAGCCATAATTCTAGTAGTTAGTATCTACTCTAAAGTTGTCTCCTAGAAATGATATTTGCATTACTGTGCCATTACTCAATTCTTAGGGTCTGATTCAAAACCAATCTCTTTCCAGTCAATGATTTGAGTATGTTTTGCCTCAGTCCCCTATAGTGCACTGGAAACTGGGCCTTTACCTTTTTCCATCCTTCATCTGAATGCACTTTATACAATATTTAAAATATTATTTACACAAAAATTATTTACACAAATACTTCTAAATAAAAACTTGGAAGGGGTGGAGTGAGAGGGCATACTGAGATGAGCACAGTCTAGAATTTGTAGTACCAAAAATAACCAATTTTCAGCAGGTTTTTAGGTGTGAAATGGTAACCTCTGCCTCTAAATTATTGCTTGTATTGTCTGGCCGCAAGTTCATTGCCATGTTTAATCTTTCTGTGTTTATAATGGTGCCTATCCTGATGTTTCATGTGCTTAAAATAAATCTATATTTTTGAAAGACTTTACCTGAACAGCTAAGTCTTTTTAGTAGCATAGGAAGGATACTCTCTCTACATTAAGGGGCTGGGGGGATTTCCAGGAAATCATCCATAGGATGTTTTACCTCAATAGACACAATAAAACCTGAAGTTGGCATTGTTAGTTCTGACTGTGGTGGCACTTTTCTTTATGGTAAGGCTAGAAAATTAAGACAGGACTGATGCTCTTGCAAAGAGCTACTTCTGTTGACTTCCTCAGCAAGAGGAGATATAATACAAAGAAGATTTGCGGGTATGGGGAGGGACACCTCCTTGTTCTGACAGAAAATAAGGCTTCATTTACAGGTAAAATTAGTGACCTCAAGCACAGCTGAGAAGTAACAATTATGGCTTTGTGTAATATAAACATTAGGAGAGGATTTTCTTTTACTTTAAAGAAGAAGCAGGAGTTACCCTGACCTGGCTGTATAATTAGCTGGACTATATGTTAATTCCTTGGCAAGGATGCTTTTACCTAGCATGTTAACTGACGTCCTCAGCTTTTCAACCAGTAATCTTTTCAAAGATTACTTCTATTCTAACCAGTAAGAAAAAGATGGGTGGGCGAAGATGGCAAAGACAACCAACCACTTCAAGGTCATGGAATGCCAAGGGTGCCTTACATGTTCTCCTGTTGAATCCAGCCACATTCAACAACTGGAGCACTATGTTGCCCAATAGCATAGCATATTTAGGACTGATGATTTTATAAAAACCTGCAAGTCATACAAGGGCTTTGCAATTAAAGCTAAAAATATTGTGTATATAAATGTACATATCCCAATAGTTTAAGGAGGAAAGGCCACAAATGGGTTTGGTATGTAACAGTGATTCAACTATGCCCTGAAAAGAAATCAGCTAAATGTTAGAGACACTAACTTAATATACACACATCTGCTTGATGTGCGGGAAGGGAATACATTAATTTCTAGGCATCATTGTGCCTCAGGGAGCTTTTAAAAGGACCAAACTAAAAACAGTCTGCAATAAACGAGCATTACATTAAGTGACAGAGCAGGAACTAAACAGAAGAAGGTTAAAAATACTAAACAGAAAATGGTCCTCAATCAGGCATTGAGGGATGACACCCTTCTCCTGAGACTTCCTGAGGTGCAAGTTCTCAAGTCTACAGGCTGCTTAAGGATCATTTTGAGTCCTGTCACTGTAGGAAACATCATTTATTTAATCAGCACTTCTCTGTCATACTATAACATGGATTTGATGATAAATCCTTCAGAGATACCAAAATAAGACACTGTAAATTATATAGAAACTCCAGCAATCTTAACAAGGGTGAGAATCAGAAGAGGACAAGTCTGTTACAAGTGGAAAACACAACTAATTCTCAAGAACAGAGGCCCATGGGCTGCTCTTTTTCATGTTTTCTGAAAACTATGCACATACACTACGAATAAATCTCATTTACATTTTTTAAAAGCTAGATCCTGTTTCTGAACACATGAAAGGCAATGGCAGGCCACCTAGAAAAGGAGACCTTCCTTGTTCACCCTGGAAAAAGGATATTAATACTGTTAATCCTGATCAGTTTGTTTAAGGAAAGTGAACCAACGGGGTCTCCACTGGCCACACGAGAGTTTGATTTTGGAGGGGAAGATCTTCTGATCCAAGAAAATTAAAACTGTATTTGTACTTCCTTTGCTGTATCAGTGGCACTTCCTAAAAAATGCAGAAATAGAGATAACACATCCAGGTTCCATGTCAGATCACACCTGCTACAAGATCTGGTCCTAAACTGTCAAAACCACATAATTCCTGGCTGGTTGCTGTCCATCAGTTGAACTATGAGGAGCAGTAACACTTCAATGGAAAGCATCCAGGAAATTGATCTGTTTTCACAGTCAGTAGCTGTGCAGAATCAGTCAGAGGTACCAAGCCAGGCAGTGGCTGCTGCTTCTGAGCGTTGCAATGTTCCTGTGGGTGTTACGTCCTCTTCCTCATCAGCTTGCTCCATAACACAGAAGGGAAAAACGTACCGTGATTCCCAAATGGTTTGCAAGGGAACTTCCGCAAGATAGCCATGTGCTCTACCTCTTCAACCCCTCTCAAGAACTCAGCAGGACTAAGAGCCCTGTGACTCCAAAGAAGGGGAGTGGTGTGTGGCAGGTCTATTGACCATTCATAGGACTGCTGTCCAGGGTAAGGGCTGCTTGGCCACATCTGTCGTCTGCCTAGCAATTCCCATCTAAAACAAAGTGTTCCCTGGGAATCAGAAACCTGAGAAACATTTGCTGAGGTCTTTTTTTCTATGGTGGTCAGCACACCAAGGCCCTATTCCTGGGTAATTCCTCAGGCACTATGCCAGTGCAAATAAATACGCCTTTCTGCCTGAGCAGGCTTCTGGTGGTGTTTGCATACAAGCCAAGGGCTACTCAGAACGCACGGATGTGGAAAATCAGAGTCTGAAGCTTAGAAACTAAATGTAAAAAATGTCACTACATACAAAAACACACTCACACTCCTCTGTGGACAGTCTGTCTGTGAACTGTTTGACCATAGCCTTCAATAAGGAAAGTAGCTGGAGATTTCATGCTGAGAATTACATAGCTCTCACTCTCAGAATGCCACACGAAAAAAATAAAAATGATTTTAAAGAAAGGCTTGGGAGGTTTGTAGTTACACTCTGTATGATTTGCTAGGAAGGTTGGATTCTGGTCAGTGGCCTTTGGCTTACATTTTTCCTATTGATTTTGCATCCCTTGGAAAAGCCTACCTTTCTCTCTTTCTCCCTTCACATTTCCACCTAAAACACAGCTACCACCATTAAAAGCTGTATTCCACAAAGATTAAAGTTAAGAAATTGTATGATTAAAACATACAAAATACCGAGTTAGGTGGGATTCAGGTGCCACATGAAGTCTTTAGGAACTACTTTTACTGATCTGCAGTAAGAGCAAACTTGTCAAAGGTTGCAAGGGATTTTAATGACATTTAATTAATTAATTTTCAATCTTTACTCAATGAAATAACATTTGTTAGACTGACTAGCAGTAGGGAGACGTTTGTCAGCTGTGCTTAAGTTGGCAGACTCTCTGTTACTATACATAGCCAGAGAGGCAGAAAGTAAACATCTTATAGGATTAGCCGCTATGTTCATAGCTGAGATGAAATTTGAACATTTCATTAGTATAAGATTGATTCTGACATTTCATAAAGCCAAAATGCAAACAAAAAATGTGTCTGATATAAATACAGTATGCAGCACTTACTCAGATAAAGTTCAAGAAGCGCAGCAGGTTTAGTGCCATGACAAAGGAAATACAGAAGGGTCATTTAAGGACCCAACTTCTGCTAAGCACTTAAGTGTATGCTTAATCCTGTGGGCATCAACCAGATACTTTATACTTATTAAAAGCACACAATAATACTAATAATTAGAAAACAGGGAAAATTTCCATGGCTAGTCATTAATGGCGGTAAGCATTACACCACCTCACCAAGGAAAACAATATCACAATTGATTAAATTTAATTAAAGTTTTCATTTATTGTGCCACCCTCTTAGTTTAAGGTATTCTGTAACCACGGCTTGACTGTGAGACTCCAGAGACACATGACAATTTTATGATAGGAAATACTTCATTACCTTAGCTAGGCACTACCTATCACTGTCATTTTTTAAAACCCCCATGCTGCAACAGGTATAAAGTAAATATATGCCCCTCCTCTAGTCTCACATCATAATTGTTCTATGTTTTCATGCTATTACATGCTTTAATGTGCTGAAGGTAAATCAATTATATTAACTTTTTTAATCAGTTAATTTTTATTAGACTATCTATAAAATAGTCTATCAAAAATGTTCTTTAGCATGTTATAATGAGGTTTAAGCAAGGCTCATCTCTAAAGCTACACCTGCATGTACATTGTTTTGTTCCAAACAAGAGGGCATAAGTAAGAGCACAGGTAAGAGCATGTTTCCCTAGTTTCTAGAAGTCTCCTTGAGCATGTTATCTCTTGAGGTTGCACAATGGTTGCATGAGACTCAATTTAGTAGTGTAATAGTACTACAACAGGAACCATTCAAACAAGTCATGGGTTGTATAAAGGAGACTGGGGAATTTGTATTTTCTAGGAATTGCGAGCAGAAGTGAGGCATTTTAAGAATGCTACTTAGTTGATTTTTCATTGTGAATTTGGTATTAGCAAGAATACCCAACGAACACATGCAAAAAATTATCCCCTTCCTATAAACCCAGCAAATGGAATCTGCTTGCAGCGGAAGACTGCACAGCCTCGCCAGACAATCTGCTTCATTGCTTAACAATTTCTACTGTTTGTTAGAAAAGTTTTTCTCATGGTCTAACCTGAATACTTCTGCAGCTGAAGTCACTAGGTCTTGTGTTCCCCTTGCTCAAGGAGAATGGATTAATTTCTGTTTCTCTGCAGAGTAACTACTTCTATCTGTACATACCTATATCCAGAGCTTATCATCACGCTTGTTTCATTCTTGCATCTCTCTGCCTGCCTTTCTTAAGCCAAAAACCAAAATCTCCTTTCCACTCTCACAGGTTGCACTTTCTAGACTACCGATTATTTCCATTTAGGTTCTTCAGAGATAGCACTTCAGCTCCAGCCCTACCATTCCTCAGCAGATTAGAAAACTTTATTTCTGTAGTTTGCAGCCAATGTTTCTGCTCATACACATCCTGCGTAAGACTTTGTTTTTCTACAACACCACTGCATTGCCCACTCATACACAGCTATTGCTGATCTGTAAGCCTTAGATCCTCTTCTAAAGAACTGCACCTTAACCAGCTTCCTCCTTTCTCCCTTCCAACAACTGCTCATTCCTGCCTGCTGCAGTATCTTAGCTTTATCCTCACTGAATTTAAAAGACCATTTTATCAAGAACATTTTGATCAGCTCAGATTATTATTAAAAAGAGTTTTCTTCTAAAAAAAAAAAAATACTTCCCTTTTGTTAAGGACATTAGCTTCCTATAACTTCACTAAGCATCTGACAGTG